ACAGCACACACATCACTAGGACCACTGTCCCCAGCGCCAGGGAGAATTGTATTCAAGGGAGCGGATGTGGCATCGAGACTGCCTGAGTTCTCCAAAGCTTCAGTGGTGTCAGGCCTGCGTGAAAGGGCATCTGCATTTGTGTGTTTGGCCCCACTCTTGTGCACAATCATCCAGTCGTATGGGTCCAGCTCCAGAGCCCAACGGCTACGACGCCCCGTCCTGTCATTGTCAACCTGAAGTCGTCGCAGACCCAACAAAGGTTGATGATCTGTGATAATTGTGAAGGGGAGAAGACCCAAGTAATGCCTGAAATTACGCACTGCCCACACTATCGCCCACAGCTCCCTGTCGTAGGTGGACCAACGCCGTTCAGCTGCTGTGAGGGAGCGACTAGCGTAGGCCACCACTCTCTCCAGGCCATCCACTTCTTGTGACAGCACAGCCCCCACAGCAATCTGCGAAGCATCTGTACCCAGCACGAAACTCTTGGTGAAGTCCGGGTGACACATGATAGGTTCGGCACAAAGACCATCCCGCAAAAACTCAAATGCCCCCTGGCAATCCGCCGTCCACTGAAAAGGGACATCCTTCCCTGTCAGATGGTTGAGGGGGGCAGCACGCTGGGCAAAACTCCTCACAAACCTCCTATAATAAGAGCAGAGACCCAGAAAAGCACGCACCTCTGTAGCGGACCGTGGAACTGGCCAAGTCTTCACCTTATCTGTGTTACGGGGGTCAGGACGAAGCCCCCCGGCGGAGACGACGTGACCAAGGAATACCACATGATCACGGGCAAGATGGCACTTCCTGGCGTTCAATCTAAGCCCAGCTGCCCCAATCCGAATGAAGACCTCCTCCAAAGCAGACATGTGGGCCTCAAACGAACTACTGTAAATTAGTATATCGTCAAGATACACCATGCAGATGTGCCATGGCAGCCCCCTTAACACCAGCTCCATAACCCTCTGGAAGGTAGCGGGTGCATTGGTTAGACCCATAGGCATGGATTTGAACTGGTATAGGCCCTGGCCAGTGGTGAATGCTGTCTTTTCGCGGTCCTCCTCAGCCATTTCCACCTGCCAGTAACCGTCAGAAAAGTCCAAGGTGCTGAACCAGGAGGCCCCCGCCAATGCGTCCAATGTGTCATCCACCCGTGGCAGTGGGTGAGAATCCTTTATTGTCACAGAGTTGAGTCCCCTGTAATCCACGCAGAATCGCCATGTGTTGTTCTTTTTCCTGACGAGGACCACTGGGGCGGACCACGGGCTACAACTCTCTTCAATTATGTCATCCTCCAACAGGCGCTGAACCTGTCTGCCTATCTCCTTCCGTTTTTCTGGCGAAGTACGGTAGGCCCGACGCTTGACCGGGGAATGATCACCTGTCTGTATGCGGTGTTTGATCAGACCGGTGTTTCCTGTTCTGCCCTTCCCAGAGCCGAACACCCCTTGGTGTTTCCCCATCAAGGCCTGCAGCTGCAGTCTCTGTTCAGCAGACAACGGGAAACCAGCCACATCCGGCAGAGGGGTAGCCCCCTGCTGAGAGGGGAAAACCTCAGCGGGGGTGAGTAGATCACAGTCCTTAACATGGTGCAACACACCTAAATGGGAACCGGTGTGCAGCTTTAACTCCTTCTCTGTCGGGTTGAGCAGCCTTGCCACAGTGCATCCATTCTTCACCGGTGCAACTGTACGTGCAATCACAAGTCCCACGTTATCACGCACCTCAGGCTCCAGGTAGCCTAAGAAAGAGTCAATGGGCAGACCAGCAGTACGGGGAATATTCACATTAACTGGGACAATCATTTCACTGAAAGGGGGAATAATAGCATCAACAGACATAGAGATGTAACAACATTCTGGTATGAAATCTGTGGCATGCATGAGAGGAATATCAACATTCCCCAGGTGAAGCAGACCACGACCAACATCCATAACAGCTCGAGCCTGCAACATGAAATCAAACCCCAGCAGAATAGCTTGTGTTGCCCCTCGCACTACATGCACAGCCTGCTCCCAATGTTTGCCCCCCAACTGTATGGGAAGAGTCACAGTACCCAGAGTGTCCAACAATTGACCATTTACTGTGCGTGAAAAAGTGTACTGGGTATTTAGCACACGTTTACGTAAGGCAGACGTGGACATTCTGAAGTCCTCAGAAATAAGTGAAACATTGGACCCAGAGTCAATCAAAACAGTAACATCAACACCCTCAACAAGTCCTCTAACATAGGCTGTGGGCTTAGACTCACCCACAGAACAAGAGTCCAATGCACGAGCAGGCGCTTTCCCAGCAGAATAGTCCATTTGACCCTGTAGTGGTGAAACCGGCATCTGGGTCTCGACGCCAGTCACTGGAAGTTTCCCTGCAGCCGTCCGTGTGAGGATGGAGATGGTGACCGCCGAGAGGGAGACAAAAACCTCACTCCACGCCCTGGCTGACGTTCCCCAGGGCTGTGTGGTCCTTGCGGGACATCGCTGCCCGGTCGTCGCGGTGAGAAGTCCGCAGAGGTGTCTCGGGTTCCCCGCTCACGTGGAGACCATTCCCTGGCACCAAAACCATCCTGCGGTCTGCGCTGAGGAGAACGGCCCCTGCTGCGGTCGTCCCTGTGGGAATCACCGGTGGTAGATCTGCAACCAAACCCGCCACAGTCACAGTGGCAGGCACGCCGGTACACCCTCTGCTCCACTTGGTCCTGCTGACGATCCCAGGTCAAGGCGGAGCTCCCTCTGCCATTCTCAGCTCCACGGTTATGCGCTCTCAAGCCTTTTACCTCAGTCTGTAAGTTGTCCACCTTCAAGGTGAGGCGTTCAACCACATTTATGAGCTTATCCGTGGTATTAGCCTTACAGTCGAAAACACCAGCCGACGGTGAATTTAGGGCTGCAACAACAGCAGGATGCGGAGGACAGTAGGGCAAACCAGGCGTGTTCGACCTCATTGCCTGCCTGGCCCGCTCACAACGCCCAGCAATTATCAACGCCTCCTCCATATCAGTCGCCCCCTGTTCATGGCATTTTGCTTGAAGTGCAGGATCAAGGCCAGCCAAAAAACGTCTGAATTTCTCACCATTTACTGCAGCGCGGTCATAATCGGGAAACGCCTCAGCCACGAGTCTGGAAATGTCCGCCGCATACACCTCCAAACACTCGTTCGCCTGGCGGGGCCGTGCAGATACACACGTCTGGAAATAAAGCAGGAACTGTCTCTGGCCAAAAGCTGCCGCCAGCTTCTCCTTCACACGTTCGTAATCACCCTGCACATCTGCCGGTAAACTGTCCCACAGTAGGAAAGCTGCACTGTCCAGTCTGGTAGGTAGAATGTTCAGCAAGGTAGCTGCGTAGCTCGTGCCCCTCGCACCCCTCGTCTGAGCACGAACAGCGGCTTCAAACTGTCTTATCCACGTAGCGAACTGCCTCTGGCCGTCGCCCCTAAACATCGGCGGCAGCTCCACTCTAATATCACTACTCACAGAACCAGTCCAAGCAGCAGTACATCCGTTATAATCGTCTTCCATATCGCCGTCTCCCTTCATTCCTCCGAACATGACGCTTCGACGCTAGCACCGTTAGCACAGCTAGCCAGCAGAGCCGACCAGAAAGTCCAGTAATTGTCCACAGAAAAGAAAAATCCAAGAGCAGATAAAACACACTCCGATACCGCTGCCACCAATGTAACGTCCGAGGTGTTAAGGCTTCAAGAATACTTCTGTGTAACAAGAACTCAGGAACTTAGTACTTTTTGGAGCGTCACAGATGCCTCCGTTTATTAACGTCGAGTCACACACAAGTCACACACCACTCTAGCCCCGACTGCGCATGCTCACAACACATGACCTCTCAACCCAATGCTTACACTAGTGAAACCCCCACAAGTACTATGAAGTACTTTTACTGTGTAGTTACTTTATAAACTCTGAATCTTGTGGTGCTTGAAGAAATACAGACTGGTTAAGCCGGCCAGGTTATATATATGTCCTTTTTTGCAATATTTATTAAAATGCCACTAGTTATTTAAACAAACCACTATCTGAGGATAATACAAGCAACCATAAAACGCCCTTTATCTCGAGAGCCATTGAAGCCCATGAAGAATTTATCCTTCCACAAATCTTTTCATCTGCTGTATTAATAAAGTTGCCACGTGTTTTCAAATTCAAGTTAAGGCACTATCTGTGCAGAACATGAACCTTTTAACTGCCATACCAAGAAAAAAGCTATGGAACAATTATTTGTTTGCATTTTATTATCAAATGGGCCACAACTAACCACAAACACATTTCTTTTTTTTTGACTGACGACACAGTTTTGTTTTTTTGAGCCTCTACCAACTGGTCTTTTGTAAAGCACTTTGAATTGCCTTGTGATGAAAGGTGCTATATAAATAAACTTGCCTTGCCTTGCCTTGCCTTGCCTTGCCTTGGTCGAGCTGGCCTTCTATGGTAAAAGTGCATTTTCAACAATCATCATACAGTACAGTATTTGTATGCATCAAACTCAAATAAAACACAAACTGAAATGAAAACATTTTTTTAATGGAAAATTAGCAATATATAGATATATTCATAAAAGATAATAAATTATAATTGTAAAAAAAGGAAAAAAGTAATGTAAAGTGTTTTTCATAATAAAAAAATACTTGCTCATCTTACTGTATGCTGAATTGGCCTAACAAGAAACCACTGGCCTAACAGCAAATGTCTATATCCTGTGTTGGCCTAACTTGCTCATCTGTGTGCAACTTCGGGCTGAATGCCATGCATGAAAGGTGCTATATAAATTATTATCACTCTTTCACTCTGAGACTCATAAGGCAGTACTAGATGTAGTAATATTACCATGAATCTAGCCATTTATTTACCATATTTTATTGAAAAACATCTCTGAAACTCTGAAAAAGTAATATTGCTAGTTTACCATAAAAGGCCAATTCGACCGGTTGGTTGAGCATATTTTCAAAAAAATGCTCAGAATAAAGAGAGGGAGAGAGAGAGACAGAAGAGAGACATGGATCACATGCTGCTGCTGATGATGCTACTGCTCTGTAGCTCAGGTAAGAATACACTTTATTATTTATTATATTCAAATATCTTTGTGATCTCTCAAGAAAAAACTACTCGTAAACACTGACAGCAAGATACACACACACACACACACACACACACACACACACACACCCACACACACACACACACACACACACACTTACACACAAACATACAAACTGAGGTACTGACTTTTAGATGGTGTCCATATGTACACACAGTCTGGTTTTGGGGTATACATGGGGTCACGCACTGTCTTACACACACATACTGTTGGAGCAGAACACCTATCTGGTGGCTGATAGCCCCCTCTCCGCGCCGTTCGTTGAATGAGGCTGGTCTCTATTAAATAAGAAAGGAATTGAAAACACCAGAATCAAAAGTTATAACAATTATCTGAGTTTACTGGTAGGAAATAGAACACGTATACAAGTTATACAGAGTACTCCGGACTTCAGGTTTGTGATGCTGTTTACAGGTAGACAGACCATGCCTTCAAGAAACGAGAAGTACAGACTTCAGGTTTGGGATGCGGTTTACACGTCTCTAGACCAGCCTTCAGCAAACCAGAAGCATTTTTACATACAAAAACAACAGTATTCATACTCATATTTTGGGGCGGAGATGTGTTGACTTTTCCCTTCCCCTTTTACTCCAAAGCGAATGAGAGAGTCCGTGAGGAGGAGCTGTATGAGCTGCTCACATCCCCCAAGTGTCCTTACTGGCTGAATTCACTTCTGGTCGGGTTCAATAGTTCTGACCAGAATGTGAAATTCCAAAGTTTCACAAGGTCAAAAGTCAATCCTTATCTCTGCCCCGATCTTCACTCCATTACTTTCCCATGGGAGTTTTTCACATAAACTATTCCTTCTCAGACATTTAAACCTTTGTGCCCATATTTAATGATGTCTTTAACGATCTTAAAAACAACATCTGTGTGTAGGGGTGAAAAGGAGCGGTGTAATGATGTCTTTAACGACCTTAAAAACAACATCTGTGTGTAGGGGTGAAAAGGAGCGGTGTGTGTGTGAAACAGGATCTCTGGGTCAGTGAGTTGAAAGTAAGAATATCATTTCTATATATGTGATTACCCAAAACCGTTGTGATTACCTAAAACAGTTCAAACAATACATGTTCACTAAAATACAATTCAAAATAATACATGTTTACTTCAATACAGTGTAGAATCATATCTTTTTACTTCAATACATACACACACACACACACACACACACACACACACACACACACACACACACACACACACACACACACACACACACACACACACACACACACACACACACACACACACACACACACACACACACAATATACCAGGTCATATTAAAACAGGTACAGGTCAGTTAGTTAACGTCTGCAGTTAGTGATAGGGGAGTGAGGCGTTCAGGTGACAGCAGAAGGTGGGAACTGGCAGCATCTCTTTCCTCTGTGGGTCCTCCTAATGTAATTGTTGCTGTAGAACATGTGTCAGTGTGATGATGGTGCACCATGACTCATTTGAACTGAAGGAGCATATTCTCTAAACTCAACTGTTGCTTTAACTCTGAATATGTGACTTCTCTGTATGAACGTGTTATTCTCAGCTTTAGTAAACTGGTGAAATGACTCCACAGTGAGTTCACTGACGTGTTTCTGAGATGATAGAAAACTATGTTTACCTTATCTTCTGATTTCTCCTCAGGACTCCAGGCTGAAGGAGAACACAACTCAACAGGTAAAGTGCTCAGTTTATTCACCCTGTTACTCTTTAAGTGATTCAAGTCTGTAAACAACCTTTATCATAAAACATGATGTAGTTTAAAGACTTCTCCACTAACTGATCCTAGTTTCATCATTAGCTGCTTCTAATAAACATATTAAGAAACACGTGAGTTGTCTGACCGAACTATGTTAATGAGAATAATACATTAAAAAACTCTAGGTCCCAAGCGACGAGTGTTTTATGTTTACCCTGTGAGAAGTGTCCCAGGGACAGAATTGTGAATTAAAATGTGCTGTAAGACATCTTCAAAAACTCCATGTGATGTCATGTAACTGTCTGCTATAAATACCTGCTGCAACCCAGTCAGCAGGATCTGAAATAAGCAGGACGTCAGACGTTGGTTTGTTTTTGATGAGCCAGAGCAGTGAGATTTGATGTCATTACTGCTCTTGTAAACCAGGAAATAATATCCACTTGGGATCGCTGATGATTCAACAAAATTACCCACAACTCTGAGTAAGAGTGAAGGAAGCCCGTGGGTGTTTGGTGCTGCCTCACTTGTTACAACCAGTTGTAAATAAAATAAAAATCACCAAGAAAACAACTGAAGTGGCATTTTTTGGAGGCCTACTTCATCTTTGGCGTATCGCGTTGCCTTGCAGTTAAAGCACCATAATGTCATTTGAAAATGTAATTATGATGTTAATAAATATCACCAGTATGTTGTTTCTGGCATATGTATATACTTGATTAATATTCACCCAGTGGCAAGAGGCCATTAAAAGGACGGCAGTATCATTAATAGCTGTCATAATTATTTATTTAGTACCTTATAATACGATGAGAATGAATTATTTAACATAAAACCTTCTGATGCCATGCAACGAATGCCAATTAAGAACAAGCTCTATTGGAAGGCCCATTTAACCTTGATATGAAGCACCTCATTGCTTAAATCATAGTCTGTCAAATAATACGGCTGATTATGTTTTATTTATGAAGTTATTCAGTCTATACTATGGCTTATTTTTCCTGTAGTGTCTTGCCTTAAACAGATTATCGTCTTCTACTACTATTACTTTAAACGTTTAATTAAACAAGTGGCCTCAACCACCATCCATCTGGTGTCACATATGGGTCACACAGGCTTGTCAATGAAAGTGAAGTGACCGTTTTGTCCAAAGCCGATTGATATGCATTTATTTTTCCCATATACACAGGAAAGAAAATGCCTGAGTTTCTACTTCTCCTTTTTCTCACCCGGTCTCCCTATTATTGCCCTTCCCCAGTCTCCCCTCTCTGCCGCCAGCTGATAACCAAAGCTCCAAACTGGCACTGCTCCTGTGCTCCTACACCACATCATGTGAAAAAACTGGGCACCATGTCAAGGCAGGCCACCCCCACTCACAGCAACATATCCCACATAGACGAGTCCTCCACCCAGCACACATGATGGACAATTTATATACATGGATGAATCAGATTTAAGGTCAAGTTAACTGACAGGGTGCAGTGGCCAGAGAGTATCAGCGTCAACACAACGTTGACGTTAAGTGCTTTCAACATCCATGTCATTCACCCCCCAAACACACCATCACCAAACCCCTCCCTCCCAGAATGCAACGGCTGTCAGATGAATATGCTCTAATTCCCCTCAAACCATTCAATGTGCTCAAACACACACACACACACACACACACACACACACACACACACACACACACACACACACACACACACACACACACACACTACACCAGGTCATATTAAAACAGGTACAGGTCAGTTAGTTAACGTCTGCAGTTAGTGATAGGGGAGTGAGGCGTTCAGGTGACAGCAGAAGGTGGGAACTGGCAGCATCTCTTTCCTCTGTGGGTCCTCCTAATGTAATTGTTGCTGTAGAACATGTGTCAGTGTGATGATGGTGCACCATGACTCATTTGAATTGAAGGAGCATATTCTCTAAACTCAACTGTTGCTTTAACTCTGAATATGTGACTTCTCTGTATGAACGTGTTATTCTCAGCTTTAGTAAACTGGTGAAATGACTCCACAGTGAGTTCACTGACGTGTTTCTGAGATGATAGAAAACTCTGTTTACCTTATCTTCTGATTTCTCCTCAGGACTCCAGGCTGAAGGAGAACACAACTCAACAGGTAAAGTGCTCAGTTTATTCACCCTGTTACTCTTTAAGTGATTACAGTCTGTAAACAACCTTTATCATAAAACATGATGTAGTTTAAAGACTTCACCACTAACTGATCCTAGTTTCATCATTTATGATTGTACCATGTTTGTGAAACCAGGATATACTTCAAAGGTAAACAACAAACCATCATCACCTTGTCATCACCACCACTTTTCATGATTATACTTTATAAATACCATCAGATCATCACATTGAAAAGGAATCTAACTTCGATACAACCAACGTTAATATCTAGGCCGTCTCCGATACCGAACTCCGGTGCTGATTAAGCTCCGGTGAACGGCCGTCCAATCTTTTTAGGACTAAACCCCCCAGAATCTACACGCAAGATCAACGTAATCTGCTTAGGGGGGCGCTTACAGCGTGGCCTCTAACACCAAACTGCCCGTCGTATCCCTATTTTAGGCACTCCAGCCTCGGATGTCCGACCGCAAGGATAGCAAAACGGAGTGTATAGTGTAGTAGGTGTTGGTGGGCTGGTAGAACCCCAGAGCAGTATCTAAACTGCCCCTGGAGGGGAAACCCCGTGTCGTTGGGAGACTCCTTGGTAATTAGGGCAGCTTCAGGACCCACAATCCCTAACCCCCAATTTTGATCCCCTTATACCAATTAAAACAATGCAAAAGTAATATCAAACCCAGCCAGAGTCAAACATTAATATCACAGTAGTGACATTACCACATCAGCAGAGCATATGTCATATTTCAACATGAATCAAAACCACATCAACAACAGTAACCAATGTGAAACTATAGTTTAACCTTAGCAGAGTTTCTATTCGCCTTAAACAATTTAAAATCCAAATCATCAACTAATGTCAGCCTTTTCCAAGGAAGGGTGATCTTACCTCACTCTAAGACCAAGCAGATACCTTCAGAGACTACCAGAGAGACCAGGAGTTGGGTCGAAATGTACAAAGTACAAACCGGTTTTATTGAGGTTTTAACAAAAATAGCGGATTTACAAGAATCCAAAAAATAACAAAAGACACCAAGTCAAAATACAAAAGCAACAGGATCACAAGTCAAATGTCCTAAAAAAGCCTTCTAAAAGAGCCCAAGCCCAAGAGCCAAGACCCTCAAGCTCTCAAGCCTCAAAAAGCCTCAAAAACTCCCCTTGTCTCTTCACACATCATCTTTTAGTCTCTTGCCTCCTCCCTCTCTGCATCAGGTGGTTTCCCCTTTTCTATCTTTGAGGGAGAAGGAGGTCACATATGTTCAACTTTTACTTAAAGGGGACCTATCATGCAAAATGCACTTTTGTACGTCTTTTATACATGAATATGTGTCCCCGGTGTTCCAGGGAACTCACCAAGTGTCAGAAAACACAACCCTCTCTATTTTCCTCCATACCCAAATTTCTAAAAAAGGGGCTGCAACGGATCTGATAAAAACTGATCCAGATTTGAACACTGTCCTGACGTCAGGACGGTGGCGCTACGGCTATTGGGCCAACTCCACCAATCAGGAGGAGACAGCCACGGCCATTGCCGTTCGAAAGCGCTGGAGACGCTGTAGTACATATGCCAGGCCTGTAGGTGGTGCTGTTCTCACAGAATCAACCCTTGCAAAAACAGAGCTAACATTTTTCAAATTGAGCAAAATGAGGCATGGCTAAAATGCATGATCTGTTTGGTATTTTGAAAAAAAAAAAAGTATAAATATGCCTTATATAGGTATGGTCCTACACTATATTATTCAAATATAGCATGATAGGTCCACTTTAATGAACAATTGTTCAAAATGAACAAAAAAATGTAAAGTTCAAATTAAAACAAATAAAGACTGATAGTAATAATATGCAATTTTAACGAGAGGGAATATGAACATTTTTCATGAAAGCAGAACACGTTGTCAATGTCATGTTTAAAATCAAGTTTTTTCTTTAAACATTTCATTTCAAATATGCAAACTTCAAGTTGGTCCTTTGCGTAGGCTGCCAGCATCCTGTGCTTCAGTGTCTTCATACCCGCTGTAACCGCTCTCAAGGTGTCACAAACCACAAGCGCAACCACAATACATAAAAGTCAAAAGCTAATTCTTGTCAAAGTATAAAAAGCAAACTTATCTCGAAACAATTGAATATTATCATAATGTCACACAAACATAAAAGAATATAATGATTAACAATCATGTATATCAGAAAACATAGATATGCACCACTGAGTATATAAGTGGGTTTAAACAACACAAAGCTAAATGGCTTAATCATTAGCATAAGTAGTCAAAAATGTATAGTAACATGATGTTAAAAATAAATCTAGATACTCTGCACTTTTAACGGCACAATGTCGGCAGGTCAGGTCCACAGCATTTCTGGGGCCTTCTCTCATCTGTGGCCCGTCTGGTCAGCTGCTGTAAAAGATTAGTTTGGTGGCACAGAAGTCCTAGACTTCTTAGCTGGAGGAGGACAGGTAGACCCTTCCCCAAGCTCCCTAGGACTAATGTCAAAATAATCTTGGAAATGTTCTGTAACATACCAGCGAGGTGGTTCCCTGTTATCCCCGCGGAGTCTCAGTGAGAGACCCGTCCTAGATGCTGGCAACAAATGATCAGATAAACCTTCTCTCTGATATAAGCGTCCATCACCAACCAACCACTCAACAGAACGTCTATAAAGGGACTGAAACATTGCAATAGTAAATATCACACATTTTCTTAAAGATATTGTTACATCTACTTGGTTTTAAATTCATTTCTACCAACCAGGAGTTGGATAAACACCAGATACTACAAAAGGAGTTGGTCACAATCTCTGTTCACCCGTGAGAGGGCGATCAAGAAAAGAGAGCGAGCGGCGCGTTGAGGGAGTTTACAGATGAGAAGACACAGAAAGACAGAAGCACAATAACAACAAGTAGGCTATATTTAGGTGTTTCTTTGTAAATAACCCACGGTATCAAGAGGAAGTAAAGTCCCCTGGTTTGTCCCCCCGGACCCCCCTAGAGGAGGTTAGGTCCCCCCCCCACTTAAATCATGTTCACATGGATAGGAAACTAAACACATTTGCAAACATCTTGTGTCCATATCTTTCTGTTGTGGTGGTCCTGCCACACCGTGCACGTGCATGCATGCCACACCGTGCACGTGCATGCATGCCACACCGTGCACGTGCATGCTTGCCACACCGTGCACGTGCATGCATGCGTGAGTCATGGTGAGATATCTGGATTAAGAGGTTGCTTTTTCTTTGCACAGCATGAAAGAAAGGCCAAATGAATGGGCTGTGATTTGAGTCTTTTGAAGCAGAGGTCAATCATTGGTACGGCCCTCGGAGGATGTTGAAAACATGGAAATGGCCCTTGAGAGGAAAAAGGTTCCCCACCCCTGCTCTACACAGACAGTTCTAACTCGTTGCTTTAAAGGACTCACAGTTTGAAGTGTTGCTTGGCCTCCGATGGTTTAGATGATGTTGCGATGTGTTTGCTCAAAATAAAATAACAAACTTTTGCACATGCAACAAAGAAAATAGGCCTTTACAATATTCAAAAGAAATAGGCCAAACTCAAATAAAATAACAAACAACTGAGGTATTCTTTCTTTCTTGATAATGCTTATAACTTCATAACTTAAAGGGTACTTGTACCATTTGTATGTACGTGTACGTGTACGGTTAACAACTGTTCCTCGACGGCGTCTCTCAACAGGTTGCCCATCACTGTGGCTTTAGCACAGGCGCCGTGGGAAATGTAGTCCTTTATAGTGCGTTGACTACAGACGTCACAATTAATTCATTATTCAAATATGCTAATATCAATGAAGGACACGACTCTCTGGTTTCTCTCCAGAGCCTGGTGTTAGGCTGGTGGGAGGAGAGAGTCGCTGTGCAGGAGACCTGGAGCTGGAACATGAGGGAGAATGGAGACCAGTGTACTATGACTCTCCCTGGACCCTGAAGGCAGCAGGAGTCGCCTGCAGAGATCTCGACTGTGGCTCTGCTGTTTCTGTGGGAGAGAGAGAGGAGTCCTCAGAGAGATCTGTGTGGAGGATCAGACCTGACTGTGTTCAGTCTGGATCTGCTCTGAGGGAGTGTGCAGCATCAACTTCCTCTTCCTCCTTCCTGAATCTCACCTGCTCAGGTAAGCCCATCAGGGACATTGTTTATGACATCATGTCCTCTGTCTCTTTGTTAGTCAGTCTCTCTCTCTCTCTGACAAAGAGACAATCCCTCTCTGCTACCTGGACTGTCACAGACTGAAAGCTCTTTGTAATGTCTTCAGACTGAGAGGAGGTTTTCACAGAGACTCTCTCTCTCTCTCTCTCTCTCTCTCTCTCTCTCTCTCTCTCTCTCTCTCTCTCTCT